CTTTCCCTCATATGCTGCATTCATCCCATTAGCCAGTACTGTCATACTGACCTCTGTGTCTAGAATCTGACTGCTTCTCATCATCACATAGAGCAGTCTAAATCACTAATTTTACCAGAACACTCTGCCTCCACCATTCCTCCTTAAGCTCATTTTCCACATAGCTGACAGAAATATAAATTAGATCACATCACTCCTTGGCTTCAAATCCTTGACTGCTCACTGTTACTAGAATGAATGTTAAGTGCCTTACAGTGAGCTACAGGGACTGCCATGCTTTCTCCAGTTTCATTTCTCTCGCACCTCAAATCCCCAGCTACATACACCAGCTCCTTTTTGTTCCTTGATAATTTTAAGCTCTTTCCCATCTCAGCCTTTGTACAGGCAATCTTTTTTTTTTTTTAACAATTTTACTGACTCTGCATATCCTTCAAGCATCACTTTTATGACTGTCTTAGCTAAAATGTCCTTCCCCACAGTCACTATCACATAACCATGTTTTATTTTCTCTATCAAATTTGTCATGATTCCAAATTACTCATTTATGTATTATCTACCTTCCCTGACTGTAATGAAAACAGACTTTGTATGACTTACATAGAAGATACTCAATAAGTAGTTGTTAACTGATAATCTAGTTGCATTTAATACCATCATCTATCTGCCACATTAAAGGCCTGAATGCCATTTTGGCTCATTCTTCTCACTTATCATTAAGTCCTATTGATTCTATTGACCAAATACCTTCTGAGTCTAATTTTTTCTATCTCAACTAGCTCTTCATCTATTCATTAGACTATTATCAAATAAACAGTTTCTTTCTCAAAACCTTTTCTGAAAAAGAACAGCAGATTTTATAACTTTCACATTAAAAAAAAGCCTTGAAGTCTGAAGAGTAAAGCTCAAAACCAAAACCCTGTTCAAATGTCACTTCCTTTGTGAATCTCTTTCTCTCCTACTCCAGCCAGAGATAATCCCAATGTCTTCTTACTACTTATTTTGCCTTTTATGTCTTCACTACAGTGTCAGTTTGTGGAAGGTGGGGACTGACTACACCTTAATTAGCTTCATAGCCTCAACAGCTGTCAGGCTGTTAGACACATGTGTATGGCATAAATGCCCTGTCAATGATTTCTGGATGTACAAATGAATAAGTATCCTCTGAAAGTGCTATTTTAGGAGTAACCCTCTTCATTAAGTTATGTTTTCCACTCTCCATTGTAAACACACAGTTATATCTTTTATCACTGTAAAATAAGGTTTTTTTTAATTTCTTAGGCATTACTCATAACAAAAACCTATTAATTTACATTTTTTTTTAGCAAGGAGAAAGTTTAATGATTTCCCTTAGCTTTAAAATACATATACTTCTCATGAAGAAAATTTTAACTATTATGCTAGCAAGAAACAGTCTCATCATTTTAATTTTTAATGATCATACAAGAAATG